CAGGTACTCCGAGATGAATCCTTTAGTATTCCTAACTCTCGTTGGAGTCACCCAAGCGTATACATTGATGACGGTAGAAAATCCTATTTTACCAATTTCTTTAGGAACTACTTACGTAACAACTCAACATAACATGCCTATTATCACATTAATACGACAATTATCATACAAAGTATCCATAAACTGGAAATTACCTTAATGAAATTATCTGATACTCTTAACAAAACAACATGGTCAAACCAATTTGTTGCATTGTTTCAAACAAATATTGGAAACAGACATTCTCAAATTAAGATTATGAAACAAGTAATCAGAACCTATCACGACCGAAAACGTAATAAAAGAGGTCCATTAAATTTCATGGGCACAGCACAAAAATGCCTCTACGGAACCTTAGATGCTGAAGACGGTGCAAGACATGATTGTTATATCCAGACGCTCAATGATAATCAAAAGACTCTCAATGAAGATCTAAAAACACAAGCTCAAGTATTGAAACAAGTTACAAAAACATCTCACGATCAATTTTTAACTATTGAATCTAACCAAAAGGTTATCACAGGAAAATTACAAAATATTTCCTTGGAAAACCAAAATTTCCACTCAATGTTAACAAGACATTGTTAACAAGACAATGAAAACTCAAGTAAAAATCCAAAATGAGTTAATTATATTTGTTATACACACACCAATGATTGATCCCAAGCCCTTTATATTGCATAAAATCTATCCAATTTCTATCCAAGAACTTATCATTAGGAATAAGTACCCTTACCTATTACTTACTACGGACATTTACTACAATACTTTATGGGAATGCCCGAAAGTCGAAAGTGTGTACCTTTGTAATCAAGAAGAGCTGAAGCAAGAAGAATCATGTATCTATGACCTGATTACTGACCTACCACAACAATGTCCTTTTACTAAAGTGAAATATGAAAAACCAACAGTGAGACAACTCCCGAATGGACAACTATTAGTCATTCCTAATAAAAGTATGACGATAGTTATTCAATGTGATTGTCTTGTCACATTGAATAACTATCGTTATGGACCATATGGAAATAATAACCAATCCAACGCTAGTTTCTTTTGAAAAATGCTTTGTGAAAATACAAAATAAAACATTTTCAAAAACCAGCGAGAACTTCAATTTTGAACTAAAGATTCCAAAAATAGACATCCCTGAACTTTCAGAGAATTGAACAACATTGGAACTTCAAGAAATCAACCAAGAAGACTTAGAAGAAGCCTTCAAGACGACAAAACAGATCAGAGTTCACAATCTAAAAGAATTGTCTTTTGAACACTCTTATTTAAACACATATGTAATCATAGGTTTAAGTCTTGCTATTTTATTTTTAATTTTATTGTTTTACTGTTTTAGGAAGTTTAAAACTTCAGAAAAAGGTTGTGCAAATGTGCAAATTGCATTGTCTGATTGGAATTCACAACAATCCACGTTTGCAACATCTTAAGGAGGGAGGAGTTATATCAGTGGCGCAGCTAGGGGCCCCCAAGGCATTAGAGTAAAATAGAAAAATAATGAAGATGGAGTAGACAAAAGCTGTAAACTGCTCATATCATAAAAAGCCTATGGGGTGCAAACCAAAAATACTTATCTGGTTTATAATATGTAGAAAAACTCCAAGAACAACATCGAAAACCTCGCCTTTCTGCCGGATTTCTATCAAAAGATATCAGGCTTTAGTGTTTGCAACAAAACGTAGACGTGACGTCACATTAGCGTGTGGAGCCCAACAGACAACAAACACCAAAAGTATCTGGTACAAAAATAATGCATGATAATCTCCTGGACTAAGGGCGGGTATTATAAAACTACTTTGACAGTTAACTGAAAGTTGACTTTTGGAATTACATGAGAAGTAACGACATTCCAGAAGTTAACTTTTAGTTATTCTGTCAAAATAGTTTTATAATACCCGCCATAATTCTACTGTCATTCATTTCAATGCATTTGATTCATAGTTTGACAAATATTTGACAATAAATAATAATAAAATGTCTTTATTGAAAACAAATGTTCATGACACATTTGCCCATAGGGCGAAGATTAGCTTAAAGCTACTCATTAACTCTTAACCCTATATACAAATATTAAATTAAATTACTTTACTAATACAACAATCACAGTAACGGCAATAATGAACGATGCCTAATATAACAAAATAGAAAAATATTCATGTAAGAAAAAAATAAAACAAACAAACAAACAAAAAATAAAAAAAATAAAATAATAAAATTTTAAAAAAAATAAATAAATAAATAAATATATGTATACATGTATAAATGCTACTCACTACTAACCTACATAGCCAACTGCTCCTCCAAAAATAGTTGCTTGTATTTTTTATGAAGCTGATAGACCGAGGAATGCAAGTCATGTCTTAGATGATTAAACAAAGATACAACATTGAATGTGAAACAACGAGAAAATAGAGCGGTGGTGTGGTGTGGCATGGTCAATGTGATGTGTCTGATGTTTCTGTTATGAACCATATTTCTAGGTATTAATTTTTCAAATAGGTATGATGGTGCCCTATTATTAATTAAACGATACATAAATAGTACCAGATGAAACTTGAACAAAAACGATAACTTCAACCATTTTAGATCATATATATGCCTTGAAACATGATCGAACTTTTTCAATCTACAAACAAACCGACAACATGTATTTTCAACGCGTTGCAATCTCTGCTGAGACATCCTGTCTAAAAAGGGATAATAGACTATAAGGCAATAATTGATTATAGAAAGTACAAAGGTATCTGCAAGCTTTTTCCTGGTATCAAAATTTAAGATATCCTTATTAGCATACAGAAGCCGCAGACGCAAATAACATCTTTAAAGAATTTTCCCTACGTGCTCCCGAAATCTTAATGATGATTCAAGAGTTAAACCAAGAATTTTTACCTGTTCTGAAAAAGAAAGTTGAATGTCATCGACTGCAATACGCAAATTATTTTTAATTGTAAGTCGTTGATTTTTAGAGCTAAAAAGTAAAATTTTAGTTTTGCTAGGATTAATTATGAGATTATGCTCAGTTGAATACCTTTTTATTAAGCGTAAGTCATTATTGATACAATTGATACATTCAGTGGCCTCATCAATTTCATTCGGATTAAAGCAGTGCATTAACTGGGTGTCGTCGGCATACTGATATACCCTTGATCCTACCACTATTGAAGGAAGGTCGCAGGTATATAAAAGGAATAAAATTGGTCCCAAAATTGATCCCTGAGGAACCCCAGAAATCACTGGCTTCGATCCAGAATAATTATGCTCTATGCGGACTCGCCGCGTACGCTTCCACAGATATGATTTAAAAAATGAGAGAACAATATTATTACAGCCAAAAAAATTAAGCTTCGCCACCAACAGGTCATGATCAATAACATCAAAAGCCTTAGAGTAGTCCAAAGCCACCAATACTGCTGCAAGCTTTTTATCAAGCGCTCTAGTAATGTCGTCAGTAATATTAAGTAAAGCGGTGGTAGTACTGTGCCCCTCTCTAAAGCCAGACTGCTGAACTGGGAAAATGTTGTTTTTAGTGAAATATTGAGATAACTGGAAGCATACCACCCTTTCTAATACTTTTGAGATAATTGGTAATAAACTTATTGGCCTCAGATCCTGCAAGTTTTCGGGACTAGATACTTTGGGAATAGGACATATAATTGACTCACGCCAAGACTGAGGAAAATATCCAATATCCAAGCATGTGTTAACAATATTTGTTATGTGATTGAGAATCTGTGGTAAACATAAGTGCAACATACGAAGAGTGATGCCGGTCATGGCCTGATGAATTTGATCGGATATTACAAATAACTTTCATGATGGTTTGTTGGTCAACTAAAGCAAATTGAAATTTTTCCTCAGAAAATTGGTTGTTGGTGTAATATTCTATTCTGTTATTACAGTTGTTTGATTTATTAAAAACGTTAACAAAAAAATCATTAATTGCATCAGGATCACGTAAGGTTAAGGGTAATTCAGCGGTCTTAGTTGCGGATGTTTTTATATTTAAATTATGTAATCCCTTCCAAAATTTTTTAGAGTCTCTATCTCTTTCCACACTTTCAAGGTACGCAGCTTTCTCCCTTCTAGTGGATACCAAAGCAAAGTTACGCAGGTTCTTGTAATGATTCCAATTATCTGGGGTTTTGTTTTTTTTATACTTAAGCAATGCTTTGTCCCTCTGTTTGTAAATCTGTTTGTAATAAAATTCATATAATAGTACAAGAGCTAATATGATGCTGTCCCAGTTACTTTTGGTGACAATCGTACATACTTTGGTTCAAAACCAAAGCCATGTTTCGTTTCAGCTATTTGAGTCAATCCGTATTTAAGTGAAAATCGTAGGATTTTTTACTCTGAGTCTACGGTATCCGAGCGGTTGTGACGTCACGCTTTCACGGTTATTTTGCAAATTTCTCAAAAACCGTCAGGCATAAAATGGTGCGGCTTGAAATATTATTCTTAGAATTTGTTATACAGACATTTTGATTTTTGGTTTACATTGCACCCCCTCTAAAGAATAGGTGGTCTGTGTAAACTAAACTCCTATAAATTTCTGGCTGCGCCACTGAGTTATATTAACCAATTGCCACGCTGATTTATAATCAATTATCTATTTTCTATATGCTTTAATGTGCTTACCCCTTTCCTCTAGGACTTTTTAAATACATTGTTGTAAAGTAAACATCAAATTGCTATGTCGGCATTAAATGCTTATTTAAGCCGACGCAGTCCCATAAGGAACGTTCATTTGTTTTCTGGCCTCTGCCTGTAGCAATTTGATCCACGTATTTTCTTTTGTCACCTCCTGAATGTTTTTTAAAATACAAGTTTCTGAATCGAAAATATAATTAGTATTCTACAGTTCTACAATTTCTTTCTTATTTGTTTTTACTATACCTGAATTTGCGTCTACGAGAGCAATATTTGAAAAACAGTCGTTTTGATGTCCAAGGGTCTAGTGAAATGAAACAATAAACAAATTAATTATATAGATTTTTTATTTCTATTTAAAGAATACATACTGTTTTCTAAATTCAATATTATAAATGGTTTTCCATACATTTTGTCCAAATGATGAAATATACAATTATTATGATATACAATAGTTATCAATTAAAACCAAAAATTACAAAAGCCTCACTATATATAAATATTATGTATAATATATTCTTTATGTACTTCTTAGAAGTCAAACTAATGCAATTTAGGCGCCCGCCATCTATACAAACAGTGATTAAACGGTATAAAAAATCAATTTTGGACAAATTGTATTTTTATTTCATATTTTTAAAATAATTAAATATATCATACATTCTGCGAAAGGCTTATTTTTATTTATTACATCTAACAATCGCAGCACTGTTTGTTTTTAAAAACTATATTTAGAATTGTTAATATTTTTTTTGTTTTTCATTATTTCAAACATATTCTAAGATATATTGACAATTTTCTTTTAATAATAATTATTATTCCAAGATAATAATATCTAAATCTTGTTTCTTAATTTTTATATGGAATGTTTTTTTTTTTTTTAATTATAAATATGTAACTGCATGTCTTAACGATGTATTATAATATGCTAAAGGCTTTATTAGGCAAACATCCAGTGTTTAGCTACACTGGAATCAGTACATTAAATATTCATTTTGCAAATCCTTAAAAACTAATATGTAGATTTTAAGTGATCATCAAGAATTTTCGAATCTATTGCAAATATGATGTTCAAAAAGTTTACTTCAGTTCAAGAGCAGAAGCTTGTAGTTTGCCACTTTTATGATATGGTTGAGTTGAAATGTTCAGGAACCCTAATTCCGTATAGAAACTTATAAATCAAAAACGACATTACTTGCTGATAGACCCTACACTATAGTTTGATATGCAAGTAATGGCAGTGTTGTGGGGCATTAATTAAACTTTTGAGTGTTTTTACTAAAAATTGTCCTTGACACTATTTATCAAAATTGTTCAAAACTCCAAATACGCGTTTTTTTTTTTTGCAAGCAATTGATGCATTTAGGAATAATGAAATCAACAATTTTTTTAACAATAAACACCTAACTAACCAAAACTAACCCTAAACTTAGATACTTATTGCAATTTCTTATTGTTGCACTCAATAGAAAGAAAAGGGTCGATATAGGTTTCAGAACAGTTAAAATCCTAATTGAATTAAATTCTTGACAATCACTATAGACTACAGAAATATAAATAGTTTCATCTAATTTTCGATATAAGTAGTTTTTTTTGTAATGGATAAAAGTTTTGAAAATGTCGCCTTCTAATCTTAGTTACAAAAAATTATGCTCGATATAAAATCAATTAATAATGCATTATTTGCTTATGCGAAGTATTACTTTGTTTTTACCATATGAAGCAAGATATTAGTTTTTATATTAGGTAGGTATGTACTTATAATGTTTTATAAAAAAGTTCAGATCAAAGTAATTGTGATGTTTTGCCATCATCATATATATTTTGATCACTTTTTTTTGTTAAATTAAATTATTAAATAGTAGGTATATACCTGGGAAGGAGAAAAAATAGTTTGAATATTCTTCAATCTCATGTATTGAGAAACCTACGTAAAAAATGTCATCAACTTTGTGTGTGATAATATTAGATATTATTAAAATATTTTGACTTGACTAGTTCTATAGATATATTAATAAAAACTACAAAACTAATATTTTTAAAATATTATCTACAAAATTTTGTACAATATTTAGATCTTAATTATTATTTTTTCCAGACAAATGTATGGAATAGAAGTAGAATTTTGAAATGATAAATAATTTGCAAAATAAATCACCTTTTAATTTATTGCAAATTATTAAAGACATGTATGACTATGCATACACATTAACAAACACCACATTTTGAATTACATAATAACAAAAATAGAATAATGAAAAATCATAAATGGTTTCAATTATTTACAATTTGTTCAATTACAAATTAATATCAATACAAATCACATCCCGCTAATAAAAAAGCATATTACCAAAAAATTAAAATAAAATAATATATAAAAAAAATGAACAAGAATAAGTATTTGGTATGGACTATTCATGGAGATCTCAGATAATCAAATTAACATCAACAAGATTTGCCGCATAAAGATTTCTTTCTACAAAAAGGTCACAAACTTTGGAACGAAATGGATCTATTTATACATGGAAGCATCTATATGGCTAAATATATATTACTTTTTATATTAGGTGCTATGTGAGTAAAAAAATCAGAAAACCAAAAAAAAAAATATATTAGGTATTATTATTTGAAACAGTCTTCAATTCTTTGGGAAAGGTGATTACTGAATAAAGTATCTGTATAATTTTGAGCTAATTTTCAAATAGGAAAATTTGTGTACTATTTTATGCCAAAACGCAAATAAAAATGCTAAAAAGTGGACTTCATTATTGAAGTATGTATCTTTTCCTCAGTCTTATACAAATTCTAGATGCACCAGCACAAATGAATAAAACCAGAAAATGAAAAATTAAATACAAACTGAATTTTTCTAACAAAAATACAATAATGCCAACATTCACTTGAGAGTTTCTTCTTGAAAAAATATGAAAAATTTGATATACTTACAGTAGATTAATTAGATGGGCTTTATATTTGACCATGAAAAACGTTAATTATTATTAACAAATAATATAAACAGTCGAAACACATTTAAAGAAATATTTCACAAATACAGTCTAATCACAATTGTCGCTAAATTATAACAATCTATTTTTTACGTGGTATCCTTATCTAACACATCAATAAGAAGCACTTATTAATCATTCGAGATTACGTTATTTGGGTGTTCACCTAGAGCAGACCCAAAAAACTAACTTTTTTATATACTTTTTTTTTTATTTATTACGCTTCCGCGTTGATCTAATGTTGATACGACTCAATGTTTAAGCGTCAACAAAAGATCATTTTTTTTGCCAAAAAGTTACTAAAACCTAATCCTATGCACCTTCTGACCTATATATCTTTTTTATCTTGAAATTTGAAAATTATTCTAAATCTATAGCCTACTTTACTGGTTTTTAAAAAGTCACTTTTAAGTTATTTCACCATTATATTTAAAGGACATTTTGTTGCTATTGAGTATGGAAAACAATAATAGATTTATTCGAGGAATTATCGACCAGCTGGTAAAGTTTTCAAAAACATCGACTCATATCGAAAACCGAAAAACAAATTTGATGGGTAGTATTCTACAGCGAATTCTAGCCCAATTTCTTTCTTATTTGTTTTTACTATAACTGAATTGGCATCTACGAAAGCGATAAGTATTTGAAAAACAGTCGTTTTGATGTCCAAGGGTCTAGTGAAAATAAAAGTGAGTTATAGTTCAAAGCAAATGTGTAAAAACTGACATTTTCGATGAAATACTTTTTCTACACTTCTGAACTCTGGTAATTGAAAATTTTACTTTTTTTTATAAACCTTCAAAAAATAATAAAACTATTATTGCAGTTTCTACCCCAATTTGCGACCAAATATAATTGTTGTTTTACCACAGAGCATAACGTCTTTATAAAGATTTCATTGGAAGACAAGGTATATGAAAAAGAGTTAATTTTTTTGGACAAATTAGTCACAAGTTGATGGCTCTATTAGCAATAAAGTTAAACAATTTTAAAAAAAGATTACCATTTTTGGAAAGTTTATATCATTGCTCATTAAAAGCAAATAAATGGCACAATATTTAATATCTACTAATTTGTCCTATATTATTGCCAATAGATAATCTTTCTTCAATAGCAACAATCAAATCACTCTAATTAAACTATTCTTAATTTCATAATAGTCTACAATACGTTTCACACTCCGATCTGACCTTCAGACTCAGGGCAGATGATCTAATACAACCTCCAATAGTTCCTACTTAGTCCCAGAAAGTGCTGATGCTGTTTGGGCTAAGCGCGATAAATGAAAGAGGCAGTATGTGGAGGTGTTGGACTGGGTGACGAGGAAGGCGGGGAGGGGCTGCTTGACGAGCCACCGCTGGTGGGCAATGCGCTATGGCCTTGCCGATGGGCATGGTTGCGCCTACCTCCGGCGCCATCCTCGCTGTTTTCTCAGAGGTAAACTTTCTTAACGCTCCGAGTGGTTGCGAAGCCGTCGGGTCGACGAAACTGATCGCCCTGAAACAAACAAATAAAGAAAGTGTGATTTAGAGATATCTTATGACCGTGTAGACTTTTCTCTTGGCAGTCTTTGACACGCCTTTCTTTGCCCTCTCATCTTTCTTTCCTACCAGGACATATGCGCAGATTAGGATAAAACTTTAATGCGCATATATCCATGTACGTGAACACATGGATGACCACGTACAAAAAAAAAAGGCTAGTAGGTACTTTGTGTCAATTGTACCTTTCAAATAGGCGGGAACTAGCTATTTTAAAAAGAACCCCTGAGATTGTCTACTAAGTATACTCGTGAGTTATACAGTGTCCCCCATAATGTTCGCTACATAGGTGGAAATTTTTTGTTTGTAGGATATGGAATTTTTTCTTATGTGCGATTGATCCTGCATGTCCGATAACCTTAAAGGTCATTTTGACATTGGTCACGTGATCACTGTTGTGGCGGCAAATTTGAAAATTTAGATATGGAAACGCAAAAAGTGGGGTTAGATGGCAAAATTTTGGAAAAAGTTATTTTAAAAAAGTGATTAGAATGATGTTTTAGAACTGTCTGCAAAATTTGGAGGAAAAAAAAACAAAAAACAGGAAACTACGTGTTTTTCGCCATGGATTTCTTATCAACTAATATTATACAGTTTTTATTATTGAAATAGTCCAAGTACCTCAATATTTAATGTGTATTGGTAAAACAACCTTAAATTCTTCATTGGAATCATTCCTAGAGAATTAAATAAAAATTATTGATTAGCACATGAAACTTTTCTGTAGCAATACCCTGTATCTGGACAGTTAGGTGTTTCAGAACTGTATTGAAATATTTAATAAAAAATCTCAATAACGAATCTTTTCAATTGTTGTATCAACATTAAGTTATTGAAAATCTCAGAAACTGTCAAGATACCTACAGGGTATTGCTACAGAAAAGTTTTATGTACTAGTCGAATACTTTTATTCAATCCTCTAGGAATCATTCCAATGAAGAATTTAAGTTTGTTTTACCAATACACATTAAATATTCAGATACTTGGACTATTTCAATAATACAAATTGTATAATAATATTTGATAAGAGATCCATGGCTTAAAACAAGTAATTTCCTGTTTTTTGTTATTTTTCCTCCAAATTTCGCAGACAGCCCTAAAACATCGTTCTAATCACTTTTTATAGATAACTTTTTTCGAAATTTTGCCATCTAACCCCACTTTTCGCGTTTCCATATCCAAATTTTCGAATTTGCCGCCTCAACAGTGATCACGTGACCAATGTCAAAATGACCTTTAAGGTTATCGGACATGCAGGATCAATCGCACATTAGAAAAAATTCCATATCCTACACATAAAAAATGTCCCCATATGTAGCGAACATTATGGGGGACACTGTATATTGTTCGTCGATTGTTATCTGACACTTTCCGTATGAGGAGCGAGGGTGTGAAGTATATGGCAAAAACAGGTATGACGTCAGGTGACCATTGACGTTCTAATGTAGGGTGCCACCAGCTCACATTCCTTTCAAGTATCAGATAAAAGTCGACGGACTTTAGGTATGTATGAACCCCTTCAAGTTTGGAGTTTTAGTTTATGAGTTGAAAATTAAGTTGAATATGCCTCAAAAACCGAATTGTTCTCGAAAGTTTCTCAGGGATTCACTTCCATTGTGCGTCACCATCCAGAAGTGTTTTTCTGAACTTCCAAAAAAAAAATTATAAAATTTTATTTGAATTTTTCCAAAAGTTAAATTCATGAACTCAACATAGTACAGTGTGTACTGTGTATCAGCCAAATGGAATAAATTCGATAATAAATAAATGGGGAAATTTTAGAAAAAACGCTCGGACACGTCGATTTTCTTTTTTTGCTTGAGATTTTTTCACACCAATTCTTATATACAGGGTGTTCTAAGAGCAGCTGTAAGTGAGCTGCAATTTGGAGTGTTTTAACACGAAAAACATACTTCCAGACCAAAAACAGAAAAATTGACTTAGATGTCATGGGATCGATTTCCGAGAAACGTCGAGCACAATCAAGTGGTGTACTTACTTTTTTTCTAATTCGCTCCCATTTTGTGATATTGACGAACGTCCGATTTCTTTGAATAGGAAACCCTATATATTATAACCTCATTGGATAGCTCTGCTTTTGCCGATTTCAATGATATAGAGTTCGATATGTTTATCTCTAACAGTTTTCGAGAAAAAAAATTATATGTTTCAGTCATAAGGAACAATGTGTTGGAAAGAGACCTTCCTCATTTTCCTTACAGATATAAACTCCTTTTCTAACATATTGTTCCTTATGACAAAAACAGATATTAGTATATTGTTGTATTAGGAGTGCTGAAGCAGTAGGTTTGCGAGCCGAACGTAGTGAGGCTTGCAATACTGCTGAAGCACAAAAAAGTGCTTCTACTCCGTATGCAACACGCTATTTTTTCTCCAAACGAACGGGGTAAGCTCGGGGGTAACTAAATGGTTAAGCGGCAGTAACAGTACCAGCGGCACTAAAAGTACTTTTGCTGCCGCTGCGGTTGTCTAGCAGCATCGAAATTACATTTCTACCACCTCGACAGGTGTTAACCCGCTGGGTTTGCCTACCAGCATATAAATTAAATTTCTAACATATTGAAAGGTGCTGACAAAGTGACGTTTTTTTGACGTTTGGAGAAAAAACCTATCGAACTTTATATCATTGAAATCAGCAAAAGCAGAGCTATCCAATGAGCTTTTAATATTGTATAGGGTGTCCTATTAAAAAATCGGACTTTGGTCAATATCTCGAAATCGGAGCGAAATAAAAAAAAAACTGAGTACGCCACTGGATTTAGCTCAAAAAAGTATCCCCAAAATGTTTTTGCAGAAATAAAAAAATTTGATAAATAAAAAACTTATAGCTATTTTTCAGAATAGGGAAAAATCGAACATCGCCCTGTATTAATGATACCTCTACCATTGAAGATATCGCGATACAATTTTTGACAATCGACGTTTCTCGTAAATCGATCCCATGACATCTAAGTCAATTTTTCTCTATCTGGTCTGGAAGTATGTTTTTCTGTTAAAACACTCCAAATTGTAGCACCCTGTACAGTCATCAACCTAATTATTTTTAAATAGTACCTATACTCCCTGTATATTATGATATTTCTAGATTCTGTGGAAAATTCTAGACATATTTCATGTACAATGTCGTATATCTATCTTCAACTGCATCGGAAATATTGACAGTCGAAAATTGACTTTTTTGCAACTTTGGCTGGCTGTAAAACCCAAACGGTTATTTTTACAGCAAAACCGATTTCAGATTCACATCTCTAGCTTTTCATAAGCTATCATATTTTGACACCTACTTTGAATTCAACCGGAGATTAGATTTAACCGGAATTTTTGATCATGGATTACATTTAAAGTTGGTGTCAGATGATAGTTTATTATCAACCATTTAGGTTTTACAGTCTGTCAAAAATGCAAAAAAGTCAATTTTCAACTGTCAATATTTCCGAAACAGTTGAAGATAAGTATAGGACATTGCACAGGGTGGTCCAAATTGGACACTTTCTTATGGAAACACCCTTCATTTTCAGAGATAGAAAAAAATGGACCCAGGTCTCTGGAGCTTATATTTAATGAGAAAATCAATGGCGGAAACATTCTGCTATCTCTAATCGTTTGGTCTCTAGAGGGTGTAATTTTGTCGATTTCTTCAATGCCCCGTAACTTTCTTAATATACATATAAGATAATAAAGTATGGGTATACAGGTTATTTGGTTTTTTTTTATACAATTTATACGACACCAAACTCATTTTTCTCCTTCGGACCACCCTATATATTTTGAGGTTTTTGGAAAGAGCGTAAAATTTCCTAAATGCTGATATGTCACTTGTTATATTTATGATAAATATTATAGAGGGTGTCCGAACTCCGAATTTCTCCGGTAGTATTTGGAATTTATTCAATTTGAAATAGGCATTTCATTGACCATAAAATTGCAAAACTTAGCTTTAATTCAATCAACCCTGTATTTCTTACCGTTTCCGAGTTCCTAATGGTTGATCTCGACATGTCCGTTTGTCGTTGAAAGTGTTACATTTTTGTACTTTTGCATTTTTTCAGGTCGACAATGTATGCCACGGACGGAAAATGCGATTCCTACCTGATTTCTCTGCTTGTTTTTTCGTCAAAATTGATGACATTGACAAAAAAAAGTGAAAGCTGATTTTTTTCTAAGACCTATCTATTTTTACCTGTATGCGCGCGCAACATGAGGCAATGGTTTTTTATTGGCTAACTAGTACAGGTGTAAAATAATCCTTTTGCACGCTGGGCATCTCCTTGTCCTTGTTCATTGCCCGTGGTCTGACAAGGATAAAATTATGCTTGATATTCAACTTGACGCAGCTTGACAAGTGTGATCGATTTTCAATTGTTTGTGTTTTTGATTGACAGATAGGTTGCACGTCACATGGTTTTCCTCCTTCCTTTTTTATCCCGTGCAAATAATAAGAACGGATTGCTATACGTAAGTCTAACATAATTTGGTACGTTTTGCCTCGTCTTGCGCAATAAGCGTTCTGCGTCTTTTTCTATCTAATAAAGATTTCGTATTATTACCTCTTTGTCTGGTAAAATAGATAGGTCTATAGACCTATCTATTTTTACCAGGTATGCGCGCGCAACACGAGGCAATACCTTTCTATTGGCTAACTACTACAGGTGAGAGGTGTTCGTTTTGTACGCTGGGAATGTCCTTGTCCTTGTTCATTCCCCGTGGTTTGACAAGAATAAAAGTACGATTGATATTCAACTTGACGTAGCTTGACAAGTGACATTCAAAAGTTGTTTGAAATTTTCATTGACAAATACGTTGCACAACACGCGGTCTTTCTCCTTCCTTTTTTATCCCGTGCAAATGAGAAGAACGGATTGCTAAGTCAGTCTAACATAATTTAGTAGGTACGTTTTGCCTCGTCTTGCGCAATGAGCGTTCTCTGTCTTTTTT